AGACCCTTCTTCAGAAAACGTCAGCTTTCCTGCTCCTCTGATGCTGCTTGGCCTGCTGTGTTCATTCAGCTCTACACCTTGTTATCTCAGCCTACCTGCTGGATTGTGTGTGTGGTGGGAGCCTGATCTGCCTAATCTAGGTGTAATTAGTGACATGGATATTGAAAGCCACGCCCTTGTCGCTGTTTCTGTTCCCATTTACCTCACAAACCCCAGTCTGTGACCAAACATCCCTACTCCACCCATACATCCACCTGAAAAGTCACTTGCATTCCTGTTCCTTCTGCTCTTCAGTGCTATTGTGCAGCTGGCATTCTCATTATGTCTTGCTCATACCTCTCTACACTTTAACATAACAAAGGCTGGGATTTTCCTTTTGTTTAATGGAGCTTTGTCACTTTATTTCACAGTTCTCATAACTCATGAAGACTTTTATGTTCTAAATTCAGGGGTTATGACTAGGATTATTGGTATCCCTAACATTAACCCATCCAGGGGAGCATTGGTTTCCAGCAATCACCCTGTCAAGCTCGTTAACAATTCGATCAGCTCTCATACTCCTAAACTCTATGGAATTTAATTTATTCAAATGTCTCCTCACACGATAATCTTCTCAGCCCAGGAACCTATCTATTAAACCTTTGTTGCACCTCTTTAGATTTTCCTTATGTAAGGAAACAAACTGCACCATACTCTGGGTGTGGCTTTGTGAAACCCTGGTTCTGATTCTACTCTTAGGATTGTTGGAGGAGATAGTGGGAGAAAAGTTGGTAGCTAGTTGGAAGCCTATCCTGCCAGGTCATGATGTAATGTATTCACACTAAACTGAAGCAGATTGGGACTTCACCCTCTGGAGCTCCAGGCTACTCCCATGCTTTGGGCATAGTTTTCCAAATTTTACTCAAAATGTTTATTTAATGTCTTGCCATTTCCTTATTTCCCCTGTTGTAATTTCAGCTGCCTGTGCATCTCATGGACCCACGTTTACTTTCACATATCATCCTATATGCATATGTCTGGAAACAATGACAATCTGTTTTTATATCTCTTGTGATTTTATTCTTTCTTTTCAATTTCTTAGTCCTCCGTTGCTCACCTCTAAAATCTTTCCCATATTTAGGCTTGCTATTCCTTTTATTACCATTGTAAACCTTTTGCTTTGATGCATTATTATCTTTAACTCCTCGTGGGCCTCAGTTGGACCATTTTGTTTGTGGGAATTAATAACATACTGTGAAAAAGCCACTATATTAAAAGAAGGCTCCTTCGGGCTGTGATAATCAAGTTGAAATCAAGATCCAAGCAATTGTTTTTATTTTGAGATAACAAGATGTAGAGCGGATGAACACAGCAGGCCAAGCAGCATCAGAGGAGCAGGAAAGCTGACGTTTCAGGCCTAGACCCGAGCCTA